GGACTCGATCCTGGGACTCCAGGATCATGACCTGAGCTGAAGGCAGTTGCTTAACCAACTGAGCCACCCAGGCGCCCTAAATAAATAAAATCTTAAAAAACACTCTACCCTGGAAAGCTGTACATCCTTCTATCTGGTGCTTTCCCTGACCTCCTTCCCCCCCCGTCTTACCCTCATGAGTTCTTCTACATCTATATCCTGAACATTCTCCAAACTTTGCCTCCACTCTGAAAAGCTACAGGCATACGTGACCAATGGCTTATTGGCAGCATAGGGGCTGTTTTAAACATTTGTATAAATTAGCTCCCAAATCTGTCCTCCCTTAATCCCTATAGGGGTACTTCTACTACTTTATTTCCTCCAGAGAAACCTAGGATTTCTTTTTTTTTTTTTTTTTAAGATTTTATTTATTTATTTGACAGAGCACAAGCAGGGGGAGCTGCAGGCAGAGGGAGAAGCAGGCTCCCCACTGAGCAAAGAGCCCGATGCAGGACTCGATCCCAGGATTCTGGGACCATGACCTGAGCCGAAGGCAGATGTTTAACTGACTGAGCCATTCAGGCACCCCAGAAGCTAGGATTTCTTTTCCCCCACAGCCCCTACCTTAATTGGTCACGACCTCCCATCTAGTGTCTTGATTCTCTCCATCCTGCCCAGATTTCTACGACAGACTCCCGTCTGGTGTCCCCCGCTTCCTGCCCGCCCTTCGCATCCCCTCCACATCTTCAAAACCACTTGTCAGTTCTCAGTGACTCCCCACTGCCTTCGAGACTTGAGAGACAGCTTGCAGCGCTGTGGAGGCCTTACGTGACCAGGCTCCTTGCCTCCACCCAGGCTCACCTCCCCCTCTAAACTCCGGCTTTCTCTTCCATCTTAGTTGAACTTCACATTCCATATCATTCACCCATTTAAAGCGAACACTTCATTGCTTCTCAGTCTGTTCACAGGGCTCTGTAACCACCACATCCTGATGCAGAACATTCTTGTCCCCAACCAGTGGCAGGTACCCTTCCTCACCTGTCTCCTTAGTAACCCTTAGCCCCAACCGATAACCTATTTTCTGTCAAAAGTTGCCTATTCTGGACATTTCACGTTAATGGAATCACACATGTGGTCTTAATATTACAATTTTTCAAGCAAATCTGTTTAGAGTTGCTTTCCTCTTTCCCTTTTGTTGGCCTGTCTTCTACTTGCGTCAAACTCTGCTCATACAAGAAACATAAGGGGCCTGGGTGGCTCAGTCAGTTGAACGTCTGACTCTTGGTTTCAGCTCAGGTCATGATCTCAGGGACATGAAATCAAGCCCCAAATCGGGCTCCACGCTCAGTGTGGAGTCTGCTTGAGATCCCTATCCTTCTCTCTCTGCCCTTCCTGCTTGTGCTCTCTCTCTCTCAAATAAATTAATTTAAAAAAAGAAAGAGGGATGACCTTTGGGAAACCAAAGTGGCCTAGCTGTCACTTGGCATTTTGTATCTTTCTGTAATTGAGTTTTCTTTTTTTTTTTATTATTATTTTTTTAAAGATTTTATTTATTTATTTGACAGAGAGAGACACAGTGAGAGAGGAACACAAGCAGGGGGAGTGGAAGAGGGAGAAGCAGGCCTCCCGCTGAGCGGGGAGCCCGATGCGGGGCTCGATCCCAGAACGCTGGGATCTGAACCTGAGCTGAAGGCAGGCGCTTAACGACTGAGCCACCCAGGCGCCCCTATAATTGAGTTTTCTAACCATGCACTTTTTCATTATTTTTAAAAAGTATTGGGGCACGTGGGTGGCTAGTGGGTTAAGCACCTACCTTCGGCTTAGATCATGATCCCAGGGTCCTGGGATTGAGCCCCGAGTCATGCTCCCTGCTCAGCAGAGAGTCTGCTTCTCCCTCTGCCCCTCCCCTTGCTAGTGTGCTCGCCCTCTCTTTTTCTCTCTCTCTCTCTCTCTCTCGTTCTCTCAAGTAAATAAATCTCAAAAAAGTATCAACAGAAGTTATCTGGGCAGGGAGATTATGGGCCACTTCCTCTTCTTTAAACTTCAGAATAGGAGGGGCCCCTGGCTGGCTCAATAGGGAGAACATGTGACTCTTGATCTTGGGGTGGTGAGTTCAAGTTCCATGTTGGGCAAGGAGCCTACTTTAAAAAAAAAATTGTAAACTTTTGAATAGGAAAAAACCAACTAATACATGTTATTGTTTAAATATCAAACACATGTAACATCCCCAAAGTCTTTCTTTTCCTCCAGAACTTTGTGTTCTAATAGCACCTCATTCTTACCTCAGTTACCCTGTCTGTGCTTGTCATGTTGTTCGCACATGTTTTCCAATGGAGTTCCCCCAGGGCCCGGGTGTGCCTTATTTCTGTGCTGACGGTAGCTGGTTTGGGTCCAGGCCTTGCTGTCCTAACTGCCCTGCCCAAGCACTTCTCACCCAGAGTGAGTATTCTCAGACTGGCATTGCCCATAAGCTGCCCTACTCTGTAGTCTGTATTCTCCATCCAGTGTTTCATAGCACAGACCCGGGCGTGTGCTGCTTTGACTTCTGTTCTCTCCAAGTAGATCATAAGCTCCTTGAGGGGCTAAATCCTAGAGTCTTGGGTCTCTCTCCGGCTAGGGCTTAGGCTTCTGACATGCTATAAAATTACAGGTGCATTGGAGAATACAAGATAATATGTTGTCTGTATAACTGCAACAGGCTTTTAAACCCTTGGTCTGTATTTACTTCTGCAGAGAGGGACCAGGTCTCTTTAGTCAAGATCAATCCAGAAGCTGTGGAATTGTCGGTTTCTTTGTGTAAAAATACTTGTTTAGTTTTTATGAGCAGTGTTAACATAAAAGACAATAGAAAGGATAAAGAAGGATAGACGTGTATGATGGACTTTTCAGAGCCTTGGAATAGTAGATTAAAAGATGGCTGCAAGTTTCTTTGAGAGGAAGAGTCTGTTTCCTCCCTGCCTTGAGCCTGGGCTGATCTTTGTGACTTGTCTGAGCAACAGAATATGGCAGAAGTGATGGTCTAGGACTGCGGAGGCTAGGTCAAAAGAACTTTTGTGGAGTCTGACAGGTCACCAGAGCCGGAATTACCGTGTAATAAGGCCAGAAACCACATGGAGAGAGGAGACGGGGGCTGGGACCAGCTAAGCCCAGCCTTCTAGTCAACCCCAAGGGCATGTGGTCTGTACCCTCTAGTCCAGCTGTCACCTGAATATCCCCAAGCAGCTCTGGCGGTGCGGGATGGGGGAGAAAAATCACCCAGCCAAGTTCTGCCTGAATTCCTAATATGGAATTGTGAGATATAATAAAACAGTGATGGATTTAAGTCACTAAGTTTTGGGATAGTTATGCAGATAGTTGAAATAAACACTCGGTTTAACTTTTTTCCCCCCAAGTTTGATGCAAACAAACTTAGAAACACAATGCGGGGTGTGGTGGGATTTTACTGCCCTGACAGTTGTCAAAGTATGCCAGCCTAAAAAAGAAATACAATAATCCAGAAAATAACTTAAAGTTTATTTTTCTCTAGTTGACTTCTCAAAAATGGTGGCATACTCAAGAGCTCTCGTCGGAGTGGCTTTTTTACGTTATCCTCTTTTCTGGACTTTTCCATGAGGATGGTCACTTCAATGAGTGCTTCCTGATAAGGCTGGGCAATCGGGTAGGCTGTGATCCGTTTGAATTCTTTCTCTTCCTCCTGGTGTGTTGCAGGCCTGTGGAGAGGAGTGGGGGCAGAGATCTTCCAAGCACGCAGTCTCTCACTTCTCTGCTCCGTGAGCTCTCTCCCCCGAATCATTCGATCCTGATGCCCCTTGATCTGTTCCTTTGCCCAGGCCGCCCTGTGCTTTTTGGTCTTAGTTTTGTGGGTTTTCTGGATAGTTTCAGTCTTTTCCTCCTTCCCTAGGGTTAATATGTTGGGGAAGACTGTTTCACTTGGAATCTTTTGAGGGAGGAGCCGATACTTGGGGTCTCTGAGGCCTCTGGCTCGTTCCGCTCGGTGTATGTGCTTCTCTATGTGGCCCAGCTCCCTCTCAGGCACTAAGTAGTCCCATCTTTCAGCGTCTCCTGTTTTTTCACGTTGGGGTCTCTCTCTCTCTCTTTTAATTTCCCGCCTTGGAACCATCAGGTATCTCCACGCGTCCCCCAGCATCATCTCTTGATGCCGCCGACAGTAGTATGCCTCTGCTTCGGCAAACCGGAAGTCAAAAGACACGGCTTGGAGCTGATGAAGTGTTTCATTCTCTTGCTGAGACTTCTGGAGCAAGAATTTCCTCACTTTTGAAGAATGGACACCACCTAAACTCTTGTCAGAGGGAAGTGTTAAAAGATTTTTAAGTTGGCTGTCCTTTTGTTGCAGGCCATGATACAGATCACAAGTGGCTGGTAGCTCTTCCTGGCACTCTGACACCATGTCCCTGGTGGGGGGATCTCTTAGCCGTGTTCCCTGGCTTTCTCTTCAAACCTCCCACACTCCCCTCCCCCAGAGTCCCCCTCCGGTTGAAGAGTTCGCCTTAGACTTCCTTGAGAAAACAGAAGCACTCAGTCAGGAACGCCCTCCTCTTCCCATTGCCAGAACCACTGCCATGCATGGATCCTGGGCCCTGCCCTTAGAATGGAAACATTGCCCCTTTGTCTATCAAAAGCCAGTTCTCCCATCTGTCCTTGTGAAGCTTCAGGAACTTAATTTGCAAATTTTTACCAAGTTCTCTTTCCTGCTTCATCAAAATTTCCCCTGTACCGGATCACTCCCGTCAGCATAAAAATATGTTCCAGTATATATATCATCTTTAAGCAGAAAAGGAAAACGTTTCCTTTGCCGCACATCCCATCTTGGCTCCCTTTCACCGTGTGCCATGAAGCAGACACCTAGAACCCCTCTCCACTTCCCCACTGCCCAGTTTCCCCTCGGTCCTCCTCAGGTGGGTTTCCAGGCCCTCACTGCCCCCAGACTGCTCTCGTCTAGGTCGTGAAGGATCTCCACAGCAACAAATTCAGTGGTCCTGTCTCTGTCCCTGTCATACTTGACCTCAGCAGCATTTTAGAGTTGAGTACTTTACTTTCCTCTGGCTTCCAGGCTGTGGCCAAGGGCATGTGACCAAGGCGATCCTGCCCCCACCCCCCGCACCGAGACTGTTCCAGCCATTAGCCAAATATCCCCAGGTGACTGAATAGCCCTTCATTCTCTTCCTACCTCATGGCCACACCCTTCCACCTACTTTGCTGGTTCTGTCTTTTAAATGTAATGCAAGAAAATACAACAGAAATTGTCACTTAAGATGAGCATATTCTCATCTCAGAGCATAGACTCTCTTGGGCATGGACACTCTCAGTCACTCAACAAGGTGACCTACCATGTGTCTCAGACTGCTCGAGAGGGGGCAGTAAGGGATGAGCAAGACCATCGAGGCACACGAGACTGACCTGTACTCACCTCTCAACTTCACCCCTAGATATGATCTACTTAACATCTCCACTTGGCTCTTCTTCCAACGTGCTTCCTTCTCTTTCCCCCTTCTCAGGCTGTCCCTACTAACTTCAAATGCCCCCTAAGGTAGCAGCCTCACTAGCTTCCCTGAATCCGTGCTTCTCTCTGCCCCCAGCCCCACCAGACCGCGCACACAGCAACCAGGGGGGATCTCTGTATCACACAAATCTGAGCATGTCCCTTCCCTGCACTGAAACCTAGGAGAGTGTCCTGTTGCTTTGAGGAGAAAATCCCAAATCCCAGTTATGGCTTTCATAATTTGGCTCCTGACTGCCTCTCAGCTCACCTGCTTGTCCACTCTGCTGCAGCCACACTGACTTTTCTGTTCCTCAAAAACCATATTCTCTTTGCCATCTGAGTATTTTCACATGTTCCGCCTTCATAGACTCCCAAACACACAATACAGCAACTCTGACTACAGTATTATGTACGTAATCTTTAGGTTTTAGCTTAAATGTTACTTCCTCAGACCTTCCACGTATTTGTTCAAATAAAATCCCATCTTTCATGACCCTTATCACAATTTGTAGTAACTATTCAATGTCCACGTCCCTCACTTGCCCTGGCCCTGTGGGGGCACAAGCGATGTTTGCTTTGTTCAGTGCTGTTTAGCCGGAACCAAGCCCAACAGACGAAGCACTTTGGCTTGACACACTCAGGCCCTTTCTGTCTTGGGGAGAAACTTTTTATGATGGTATTACTGACTCCAGAGTTCATGGCAAACATATTTCCTCACCTTAATCTTCTTTTCTATTGGGGACTGGGAACCCACTGCAATCCGAGGGTCCTGAGTGTTTCTGGCCCAGGCCAATCTGGAAGATTAAAAAGAGAAATTGCACTAGGATTTGGAGAAAGGTTTCAGGAAACCTGGCCCTGGTGTGAATTGAGGTAGGGTGTTGATTTGGGACTTGCTTTTCACATGTTTGTCACACACTTTTCGATAGCAAGAGGCATTTCTCTGTGCCAATAGGCAGGACTTTTGCTAACTTGTAGCTTTCCTTGAAGCAAGGAAGGAATGCTCTCTGATAAAAATATGAATAAAGAGCCATATTGAGTTTGAGGTTGTGGCTAACAGAAATACCTTTATTTTAACACTGGAGAGGGGAGGCTGAGTTGCTATTTCAAATTCCACAAACCATGGTTTGTATAATTGTTCGTAGAACAAAGAACCTTGCCTTGGATAAGAAAATAAGTTCTCAAAGCGAGTCAGTCCCTTTTAAGTTCAGTTATGCATAAAATTATAAATAGTATAATTTATAAGCTATCATTAATTTCCAACAACAGCTAACTGTAACGTTTCATGATTCTTGTCAAATGTTTATATTTTAGATAGCCAATAAAACAATTTGATGGCAAGAAAATTTGTTTTGTTTTGTTTTTTAATTTAATGCAGGAAAATATAGCCGAGAAATTTGCAGTCACATTTAGGTATCCTGGAGAACTCTATTTCTTAACCTGCTTAGTTAGCAAATAGATTCTGTTTAGCAACCTGGGTTGTAAATATTCTGTTTCTCTGACTTCTCTCTTTTTCATTAAGATTTTATTTATTTGAGAGTGAGAGAGAGCACGAGAGCAGGGTGAGGGGCAGAGGGAGAAGCAGACTCCCTGCTGAGCAAGGAGCCCGACGCGCGGCTCGATCCCAGGACCCTGAGATCATGACCTGAGCCCAAGGCAGATGCTTTACCGACTGAACCACCCAGGCTCCCCTCTCTGATTTCTCTTTGCAGCAAAAGAGGATTTTATAATATAGACAGATAAAAAAACAAAACTATAGTTACCGTGTAAGTAAAGCTAATTTCTTAAACAGACTCCTGCTTCCGCTTTCATGTTTTTTCTTTGAGGTTCTTATATTATCTCCATAACAGCATTTACTGAGCTTACTATACACTGGGTGATGTGCGGGGGCCTTAAGTGGGTCCTTTTACTTCGTCTCCCACACAGCCCGCGAGGGAGGCACCCATCAGGCCTCACTGCAAAGACACTTGAGGCCAGAGAGGTTCCGTGACCCCTCAGTTTCAGAGGCAGGATGTGCGCCTGCGCGACTCAGAGCACATTTTCGTTCCTGTGCTACACTCGTTCCCAGATAATCGAACATTCTCCTGCCTTTAACTCAAAATGGAAGGAAATAATACCTACTGTTCTTCCGCACTCAGATCCAACCATTCTGAGTCTGTCACCGGGGGACGGCGTGAGGGTGGGGTCCGGGCTGCCATTCGGTCCTTCCCTGGGCTCCCCCCGCACCCTCCCCGCCCGGCGCCAGTGGCCACCCCGCGAGTAGCCTTGTGCTGCGCATCTTCCGTGTGGTTTTTTTCTGCCAGTGTCCTATCCATTGCCAGCTTTGCGAACAACATGCTTGCTTCTTCGCCCTCTTCCTCACAGCGTCTGCTTTCCCAGGGCTGGGCTCCAGTCCCTCATTCTCTGTTCTGCAAGGTACTGTTCAGCCAGCACCTTCCCGGCCCTCTCAGACTTCCCGCTCTCCACTGTTGATCCTTCAGGATGCCTTGGGTTGATTTCTAGGGCAACCAGAGGCAGTCACAAGCTTTTGTATGTGTCATCACCATCCTAGATTGAGACTACTGTGAGGTGGTAGGTGAAGACATCGTCTGGCTGACAGGGAATGCATCCAGTGTGAGCTGGGCTGATTGACCGCGGACAGAAAGTGCAAGGGGCTGTGTTTCACAGATAGGACAGCTCTTCTCGGTGTAGCTGGAGAAAGCATCTTCCAAGGTAATGGGAACATCTTTGTCATTTTTGTTTGGTTGGGCTTTTTGGGGGGTGGGGATATATATTATGTATCTTCCATAGAAATGTAACCTATGGAGAGCTGGCGGGGGTGGGAGGGGGGAGGGATCCTGCATGCACAGTCCCAGTAGCTGGCAGAGGGCAGACAGGTGTGTGGGTGGCCCGGTCACGTGGTCTCACCATCCCTCAGCTGGTGTGTCACTCAGCTAAACGTTGCTGCTGCTACGGAGCTTTTGAGCTCTACTTCTCTTTAATCTACTTTTAGCCACATATTTAATTATGTTCATACCTGGTCATTACTTAGGGACAAGCAGACAATACACCAATGTCAAAATACAAATTAATAAAATGATTCTGCATATTCAAGACACTTGTCACCATATAGTTAAGCTGCAAATGTCCAAATAAAGTCCTCATTGTTTCTCCTTGAAATGTCTCTACTTCTTAAAATGTGAAAGGAGAAAATATGATTGATTACAACCTGGCTTCTTACTTATTAAGAATAAAATCTGTCCCTCCCCAAATATGCTGTATGCAGAGATGTGCTTGACACCACAGCCCTGAACTCATTCAGAAAAGAAATGAAACAGTTATGAAAGTAAATATGGGTATTTTATCAAAAATCAAAGAATTTCAAACAGCAAGTCATGACAGTGATTTCTGTTGATTTTTGTACCAAAACCTTGAATTACATTACAACCTACATTTTAATATTCACAAGATACCATTTTAACACTGATAAAATGTCATGTCACTCAGATATCAAACTCACGTGCTGTTCAGCCAAAATTTGTATATGCCTGTGATGTGACAGTATCATACTACCCCAAGTTCCTAGTATTCATTGACTCTGAGCCAGGCACTGTGCAAAGTGCTAAAAGGAAGGGGCGCCTGGGTGGCTCAGTTGGTTAAGTGTCTGCCTTCAGCTCAGGTCATGATCCTGGGGTCCTGTGATCAAGCCCTGCACTGGGCTCCCTGCTCAGTGTGAAGCCTGCTTCTCCCTCTCCTTCTGCTGTCCCCCCTGCTTGTGCTCTGTCTCTCTCAAATAAATAAATAAAATCTTAAAAAAAAATAAAGTGTTAAAAGGTAGTATCTTATTTACCCTCCTGAAAACTGAATATAGTTTTTTTTTTTAGAGAGAGAGAGAGTGAGCAGGAGTGGTGGGGGGTGGGGGTGCAGAGGGAGAGGGAGATAGAGAAACTTAAGCAGGCTGTCTATACCCAGCATGGAGCCCAGTACAGGGCTCAATCTCAGGACCCTGAGATCATGACCTGAGTCAAAATCAAGAGTCAGGCAGATGCTTAACCAACTGAGCCACCCAGGCACACCTAGCCTCCTTTTTGATAAAGAAAAATATGCAATTACTAATAAGAGCCTCTTTTTACGTAAGAAATCAGCTTAATTAAAATAAAACAAAAAAGACAATCACGTGGACCTAAAAGTACTTTTTATTTAAGTATTATGCTTTGAATTGTTTCTTTTTCCTGATAAGAGAAACAAGGGATGAAGACTATAAGCCAGGGAGATAAATGTTTTTAACAGCAAATCAGGTTGAAGCACCTATCAGCAAGACTAGACTTCGCCCTAACATAAACAAAAGGTGGCCTGAGCTGTGTCTTTCTATGAGAAACATAAAAAGAACTCTTTGCTAACAAGTATTTTATCATATACCTAAATTTTAATCTTTTGTCAAAAGTCATGAAATGTGTTTGAGTAGTTATGAGAAATCCTCCCTGGCGAAGGAGAGGTTAGTGGTTCCTGAGCTGAAATTATCGTTAACCACTTCTCATGACATGGAACTTGAAACAAACCAGAGTGTCATCACAGACTAACTGCTGGCACTGGAAACTGCATGCTGCCCGCTGACCCCATTTTGCCGGAGTTTGAAATCAGACTTAAATAAAAAATAGAAGTTCCTCTGATAGTATCTAAACATAAAACACTGACACTCCAACTACCCTATTCGGTAATGTTATTATTCTTCTGCCGATTTTCCAATTAGGAGGAAACGTGGCTGAGAGAGTTATGTGATGTGTTCAAGGCCACACAGTTGCCCAGGGGGAGACTGAAATTGAACATGGATGTCTAAAAGCCAAGCTTGTGATCTTCCACATGCTATCCACCTGACCTTGGAAAATGGGAGGGGTGGAAACAGCCCTCACCTTTGTGGCACTCACAACCCAATGGGGGAGGCAAGAAATAGACACAAGTGCATGTGTATGATGTAGCCATACAAAAGGGACACGTAAGTATGGGCCGAAAACAAAGGGCAGGAGTCATCAGTATGAGGTGGGACTGAACATGGAGGACCTGCTGGGGAGCACATTCTGAGTAGAGTGGCAGAAATGTGGGAGACACTCCTGAGACCAAAGAAGCAAGAGGTGACTTGTCAGTGGTTGCTAGAGGAAGTTGAACAGGCAGGGTACCACATGTGGGGAGCAACACCAGAACCAGAATATGATGTAGAGGAATTATGGTGACTTCCCCAAACAAACGGAGAACTTTGTTAATAGGAAAATTATTAAGGGGAAATCGGAGGGGGAGACGAACCATGAGAGACTATGGACTCTGAGAAACAAACTGAGGGTTCTAGAGGAGAGGGGGGTGGGGGGATGGGTTAGCCCGGGCATGGGTATTAAGGAGGGCACGTACTGCATGGAGCACTGGGTGTTATACACAAACAATGAATCATGGATCACTACATTAAAAACTAATGATGTAATGTCTGGTGACTAACATAACATTATAAAATAAAATTAATAAAAAAAATAGGAAAATTATTAAAAAGAAGTGGCAGGAGAGAAAAGATCCTGAAACCATAAAGCCTGGAAGCAGAGGCCGGTAGAGAATTGGGTTCGTCCACTGGCGCTGTGAGAACCTGATTCTAGACCAGCATTGTTCAATGAAAACAGAATGTAAATCACAGATGTAATTTCACGTTTTCTAGGAGCTACATTAAAAAAAGTAAACAGAAACAGGTGAGATTAATTTTAGTGATGTATTTTAACCCATGATATCCAAAATATCATCTCAACCTGCAATCAACTTAAAATTTTTTATACTGCTGTTC